TAACATTTGGTCACTTCGAACCGAGATAAGGATTGCATCTCTTGGCTAAATTCCCATACAGTCCATTTGATTTTGGATTTTTGGCTTCTATGTTCGTGTGTAATAAATCCACATCATCATCATTATTATCCTCAACATCATAATATTCCTTTATAAACAAATTTTTTTATTGTTGTGAGCCCGCGAAAACAAATAAATAAAAATATTACAATAACAAAACGGCCACTTTACAACGCATCGCAGTGTTCCATTTTCGTTTGTGGTCAAAGCCCAATTGTCGTGGACAACATCATAGAACCGTGCACGTGCAAAAGAAAAATAAGTTCGAAGAATTAAAAACAAAACATTTTGACGCATTTGTTTTTTTTCAATGTCGTTCGATCATACACACACGCTGTATACATACATACCCTTGTTACTAGCAGCCGTCGTTTGACCATCAGTAATAAACATACATACGTTGATCGGTTGTTCTTCTTTGCTACGTGTACGCTATACCACTCGAGTCGGTCGATCGTGGTTAAGTAACACGTTTGATACAACCTTAGTACTTTTTGTGAATATTTTATACAAGTGTGTGTATGAATAGTTAGAAGCATTTTGGACAATTTAAACTGCGTACACCCAATAGTTGTCACATTTGAACTAATGTGTTCGTTAATTGTTTTTTTATTCTAAAACTAAATACCTTGGTCGATATTTTGATTTTTTATGGTAGAACATTTTCGTTTTGTGTGATATTTTTATAAATTTTGGCAAATATTTTAGAATATTTTCAGTTGATTTGAATTTTCTTTGGATTTTTTTCGTAATCTTATTTTTACACAAAAATTTCACACTTCTCGTGAAGTTGGCGTTCAAGCTAGCTTCCCAATATTGTCTATTGGGAATCCTAGTGTCGTTAAGAGTTTTGTTGATCCGCCTCATATAGATAGTGTCCACAACCTAGCTCTGCCTCCTTGTGATATGAACGTTTTCGATGGTAATATTCAAAATTGGTTCACATTTAGAGATTTATTTAGCGGCGTCTATATAAATAATTTGCGTTTGAGCGATATTGAGCGCCTATGTTATTTAGTGCGCAAGCTCGAGAAATCGTCTTGAAATTGCCTCTGACCAACCTCAGTTTCGGCCTGGCGTGGAACGCCTTAAAAGAAGAATATATTAACCCTCGGTTACTCGTCCATAGTCATCTAAAATCTATTTTCGCGCTTTCAGTTCCCGAAAAATAAATCTCTGGTTTGAAAGTAATTCAACGTGGCATTAATGGATGTCTTTTGGCGATGTCCATATACGATATTCCTACGGATCATTGGGATCCAATTATCGTTTTTGTTTGTCTCCAACGTCTCCAATAAAACTACGACTACTTTGTGTAAGGACTTGCCATCGTCATCGTTTGTTTAACCTGCTTGCGTAAGGGACATGCAATCAAAAATTGTAAAAGTTGTCGTCGGTGTTTGATTTGTAATCGAAGGCTCCGTCTTTTTGTCCCTCGAATTCTTCCCCAAGTACACAGCCATGGTGAAAGTCGTTCATCAAGGCGGTTCGTATTCTTCTAGGGCGTTGATAGATCCGGTCTCTGAGAAACTAAAGCTTCCTGTTTGTTCGTCCAATTCCACCATTTTGGGTGTTAATTGTTCACTTGCGGCTATATCCAAAAAACTTTGTAATATTGAAATCAGAAGTAGACTAGAATATTCGTTGTCCCTGAAAACATCAGCGGTCGTGCTGAACCCGATTTCAGGAAATCTACCGCCCAAATCCGTCACTGTGGATTCACATACTCGTTATTGTAGCAAATCCGTTACTGCAGATTTCGTGGAACTTAAATCCGTAACTGCGGATGTTGTTATTGTACCGTGACGTAGCCCCAGTGAGTTTTGTTTTGAACTTAAAACACTTGGCACAAATCCGAATTCATAACTGGAGGTTCTTGGTGACTCTGAATTATTTAATTATTTATCGTTTACTTTCGAAACTGCTCAGATATCTTCACTGTACCACCACCTTATACCTTATATATGATGTAATTTGTTGCACCACTTTTCATATTCTACATTCTAACACCAGGAGTTCAAATAAATGTTTAATATGGTTTGGTTCACGCCAAACTTTTGGACAGGATGACAAATCCACGAGTTTGTCTGCACTGTTTGAAAAATTAATAGTCATTGATGGTAATCCGATGACTTTCGTTTAGTTTGTGTTCAGCTAGTAATAGAACATCTGGTTGGTGTTCATTGATGAATAGCTGAAGTTGGTGTGGCTTTTCCATTGAAACGACAAAAATGATAATAAAAAGCATGCATTTTAATACGAATGTTGCTTAATATGCATACAACAGTTGACCCCACTTCTGACATTTTTATCCTTTGGAATTCCCCCTTGAAGGAATCCAAATTTTTTAGCAAGTCTCCAATGCTTTTCCGATGTTTTGCACTCCCGTGTCATTTTCTTGGCTATGTCTGCGGCTCCGGTGGTTTCCGTCATCTTCATTGTTTTTGATCCTGCCGCTGCTGCAAAAATCATTATGTTTTTGTGGTAGCTAGGTATTCTGACCTAGCTACTAAAATAAACGAATATTTTTTTACGAAATCGAAAAGTTGTATTTGGTATTGAATGTATATCGTTTTTAGGACACTGATCTTATTGTTGGAACTGTTAATAATATTTTTAATGGTTTGTGGACAGATTCAAACCTTATTAAAGAAATATTTTTTAGGGATCCAACTTTTTGATAATCATTGAATAATGCAGCAAATTATGAAATTTTGTCTGCAGAGTAGATCCTGTAAGTTTCAGATATAAAGAATTGTATTCACAAACTAGTTGATGAAAGTATTCTGACAAACATTTTTGAAACAAATCTGATATTTCAACAATTTGTCTCATTAAAATATACACAAACCATTCTTCGCATTCAGGGATAAAATCACCTATCATTAAATTCAATCATTTACCTAAAATTAAAGTTTCAGAAACTGATAATTTTAATTTTTTATGAAAATCTGAACTGATCATTGGGGGCTTATTTCTGCTATATACTGGTCCGTAATTAAATGTCAACATTCTATAATTTAACTGATTTAAATTAAAAAACTCATGATCCTTTATAAAACGGGTCAATACAAATACTGGGTAGTACACTCCCTCTTTCATCACGTCTACACAATAATTTTTTGTGACATGAAAGCCTTTCAAAGTATTCCAGACAGATTTTTCTTTGGTTCCAGTGACCCAAAAATCGTTTTTTACTAAGTCACTGTTATAATTTTCTGGATTTCTTAATATTTCAATGTTTTCGATGGCTGCAACTCTATGTATTTTCCGATGCTGTTTTTGAAAGCGGCAATAAAAATTACTTGGAAAGGTTTCTGAAAATCCAAGGATTGTATAAAATCCTAAATTATCTCCATTATCTAATTCTTTTAATATGCCTATCCTCGAATGAAAATCTCTCCCCAATTTGTATTTCGAACTCTAGTAAATTATTAAGTTCGTTTCTAAAAGCTTCAAACACAGTAGTGTTAACAAATCTTTTTGAATCATCCGCGAAAAGCAACATAGCTACAAAAAAATGTGATAATTTGGACTGAAGGTATTCAGGAATGCATGAAATTTTTGCATAAAGTCGACCAAGTTTTTGAAAGTCAGTGCGAGAACCAAGAGCATTATCATGCTCAAACTCGTCAAAATATATAAAAAGAGGTAAACCCAACGTATCTGCCTGGTATCGCCAAGAAGATAATGTTTTGGTTGAGTCTCGGTTTTTAAGCTTTTCCTTCTATTTCTGGTTTCATCATCAGCCTCTTCAATAGTCTATGTAAGAATGATAATACGTTATTAAATCATAAAACTTAACTCTACTAAGGATATATTCCTTGCAGTAATAAATAAATGCTTCCTGGTGATCAATTTTAGACTCTTTCTGTAGCTTGGCAAAATTTATGGTATTAATATCAAAATATATACTATTAATAAAAATGCTTTGAATTTAAACTAATGTAGAACATTGTGTTTTTTAATATTGAATTTTTTTCCAACGAACTTACCTTCAGTTGAATTTATATTCAGATAAATTTATATTATTTGGTATTTGGAATACTCTATTCTCGTGTATTTTATCTGCTCTAGCGATAATGTCATGGTAAAATTAAGAAGGTAAAGTCATTTCGGATAAGCATACCCATCCCTGCATGTTCTGTAATTTAACTTTTCAAATTTCACTACATAAAAAGAGGTTCCCATCGGGTATAATGGATTTATAAATACAAATTTTGACAATGAGATGTTGTTAAATGAATAATTTTTGAAAAAAAAAAATGTAGACATATGATTGCATGACTTTACCTCCTTGATTCTACCATGGATAATGTGTTAATATTGTTTCTATGTGTATGATTCTGCATCAATATAAGATTTTGACATCTATTTTGAGCTAAGTCAATAAGGTAGATATGTATTAAAACATAAACCATGGTAGAACTAAGAAGGTAGAGTCATGGAATCATATGTTTACAACTTTTCTTAATTTATACGTTTGACAATTTGGTGGGAACTGTTTGTATGCGTTGAAATTTGACAAGGTAAATTACAAAAAATGCAGAGCTGGGAATGCTGATTAGAAATGAGGTTACCTTTATTTCATTGTACCATGACAGAAACATAAAATATATTAAAATAATTAATAATTGTGATTCGTACCAATTCGTACGCTTCCCCAAAATTAAAATTTATATTATTCAAAATATTCGGCAAATTGTTACTTCTTGTCTCTGGCTAAGAGTATTTTCCAAATTTCTTTTACTGTATCCCAATCAGAGCCTGAGGTATTCAGAACTGTCAGCTCGGCCTTATTTATTTCAGTTTTATTTAATAGTTGGGTGTATTGACTAACTGCTTTATATAACTGTCTTAAATTGTTACTTCTTGTCTCTGGCTAAGATTTATTTCCAAATTACTTTTACTGTATCCCAATCAGAGCCTGAGGTATTCAGAACTGTTAGTTCAGCCTTATTTATTTCAGATTTTTTTAATGGTTGGGTGTATTGACTAACTGTTTTAAATAATAAAGTACTTGAGTAACATAACTAAACACATAAGCCCATATACAGTTTGATAAGAAATCGTTTAATCAATCGCATCCAATCGCATACTAGAGAAACAGCACGTCTCAGCTCAATTTACTTCGCCGATTATTGTAAGCATCGAATAATTTTGATCTGATGCGATGACCCATTTTAAAGGAAATATAGTAGGTTTTCTTGCTTCTACTGGAAAAATCACTATAACTGACTGGACAAAAATCTTCCTTTAGGATCCTGCAATTAATTAGTAAATTAATAAATTGAAATACTTATTTAAAATGTAATTTACCGTATATATGATACAATGGTCTTCGCTATTTTTGTCCTTTCTCTGTTTTCCAGTTTGGTATATTTCAAGAATCGTTTTTATTGTCTACAATGTAATGCAATTGTTTAATTTGTTTTTAGTTATAAATGCTATGCATACATACTTCTGTAAATGGAAGATAAAGGAAATTATCTCTTTCAAGTATAATATCGCTTTGGGTCGAATCAGTTAGTTCAGTTTAATTAATGTTAATTATTGACTGACTTGGAGTGATGCCAAAACGTCTTGGCCTGTAAAAACAAAAATAGGATATTAATACGAAAACTCTACTTTTGTAAAAAAAAAAAAGTAATGGGAGTGTTTTTGTCAAAACCAGAGTTTAGCACAAAATACTTTCCACTTAGCTTAATATCCAATACGACGTCAATTAAAGCGAAAAACTGTCGAAAAAAAAAGGATGAAAAATGCCTTCTTTTATTAAAAATTTATTATGAATTTCGACTTCAGCATCGAAAAAGAGATTATAGATTTTCTTGAAAAAACCCAATTCCACCCAAACACAAGAAGACTATTGATAAAGGTTGAAAATACGATGCCGAAAGTAAAACAAAAGCACACACTTTTCTCTGCTAAGTAACGGGATTTTGCGAGCATTTCTCATTTAGGTGTTGACGTTCTTACCAGCAACCATTGAAGGTAGAAGGTAGATGCATCGACACAGCTGCTGGGACAATGAATTGTCAAACCAATTTTGGAATTGAAAATGTGGGATGAAAACTTATTTAAATTCGTAAAATTTGTTGAAAACACGTATCATAATTACCTCCAAATGACGTATGAAAATCTACTTATATTTGAAAAGAAATTTAAAATTTTGTGACATATTAATGTTGCCAAGCGTTGGTGCATCTACCTGTATTCTTCTACCATGCAAAGAACCATATATATAGTTATTATTAAAAATACTATTTTTGCCTGGTGATGTCATTAAGATTTGTCATTTAAAAGCCACCATCATTAGTTCCTACAAATTCACTTAGCAAACAGAGAGGAGGGAGAAAAAATCATATGCATACGTACGTCCAAATGCATTTAGAGATTAGTCTCTACTTACCAAAAATAAAGCAAAAGATCTCTTAAAACATTAATAAACATTGAGAGACAACAAATTGCTTTATGTTTTTCTTGTTGTTTTCTATTGTTTTTTTTTTTTTTTTTTTTTTTTTGTTATTGTCAGGAATTAGCATGCAGGCAACTTTGTTATATTATAAATGTATGACCATACTTAAATATTTTGTTGTTGTTGTGTATGGTCAAAATTGAGGAGTTTTACAATACCCATAGTCGCGACAAGCATGCTATGGTCCCTAGAATAATACTATGGTGCATAGAAAAACTATATGATTCCCATCACAATATAAAAACCATATTTTTTCTCTGCGTGCATAAACACTGAAATGCACAGGACATATGTAAAAACCATTCCGTCTGATAATGCATTTTTCCAATCGAACGCACCTATTAAATATTATTAAATTGAAAATGCACAATCAATAATCCTTAAATGTTCAAATTAAAGGCGCATGCGCAAATATTGCTACACTTCAAGAAATGACAAGGAAATCGTAAAAAAGACAACACCTTTTCAAATTAAATCAAAATATACGTGTCAATGACTACATTTTGTCTATTAGGAAGACAAGAAAAGTATAACTATACCAAGGAAAAAAGAAATGACATTTTATATTATATAAATTATAACCTGTTGTACAGTGGTTTCTATTTACCTGCATCAACATTAGCTGCGCATTGGCCTTTGCAGACCAAAAAACTTTTGTTATGCCATTTTTTTCTGAATCCCTTTATTTGAATTGTATTTAAGTGCCCAATCGATAGCTGCACATTGGACATTCCTGCCTCGAAAATTTGGTAATTTTTTTTTAATTTGGTTACAAAAGTTGTATTTATCTGCACAAGAAAATTTTTTGCAAACTCAAAAAAGACACTAAAACTACCACTTCGTTTTTGTTTCTGTATTCGCAAAAACAAAAACAACACAAGAAAAGAGCATGCATTAAAAACATATTCTCGCTTCCTCTCCCACACTAAAAGATGGTTATGCTGGATAAAACACCACTGATGCTCAAATACATACGAATAGAAAATTAAAGATACCTGCACTTTTTGTGCACGTAAGTAAAATTAAAGATACCTGCTTCATTGTGCAGATAAGTGCAATGAAGCTACCTGCATTTTGGGCATTGCTGCACAAGATGTCGTGCAATTTTTGATTGTGCAGGTAAGCAAAAAATACTGTATATCAAAAAAGATATTATAGCAGGAAGTGTCAAATGGAGTTTGGCATTAATGAAGCAAGTTCTGTTAGGGTCCATGCTGGGATAATGTTAAAGTTTTTATTATGGGTGGGTATTTGTATACCCTCTACTTTGTCATTCCGTTAGTAACATCCCTAAATATTAGTCGTAGACCCCATAATGTATATATATATTAATAATCAGCATAAAATTATAAGTCGATTTAAAGATGTCCGTCTGCCTGTCGATACAGGCCACATTATTTAACGTAGAGCGTCATCATTTAGCAGAATAATTTGTATTGTATCTAGGATGGTTGGTATTGAAAATGAGATATATCGGTCCACATTTTGGTATAGTCCCCATAAAACGGTACCTCCCGATATTCGGTATTTTGATGACTTTTACCACATTTTTCATGGATTTGTTTAAAAATTGGTATTCGTTTGTCATAATGGGTTCTAGCTCCGGTGGCGAAACATTGTAGGTATAGGTCTACGCTTTGTGTAAAGTAGAATAGAGTCCAATCTCCCTCTTCGATTGTCAACTCAATCCCTTTTTCTGTGAGAAAAGAAACACGACCGCTTCGTTAGGGTGTTATTTCAATTCTGATTTTATTTAAAAAATATGTTCCTTACGTACTACTGAAACTAATCTAACTTAACCTAGTCGCAGCCACACAATTGTTCTTATCTATTCTAATATTGAATGGAGAACATTGCAGGGCTACTTGTCATTTCATTCAAGTGGTCTTGCACATCTACTGAGCGCATCGATATCTGTGCGTGTGGGTCATAACCTTTATTATCTCACGCATTATCGTATGCGTCAACGCACAAGATCACCGAATTCTTCACATGTGATGTTTTATAGCGGCTGGGAAATATTTATTTTTTTAATTTTATTTTTTATTGCTACATTTTCCCAGCGCCTCAATCGCACTCAAAAGTATGTACAAAGTATTTTGTACATTCTCCCGGGCGGCTTAAATGTGTATGTTAATAGTGGACTGTATTTTTATAAAGTTGAATAAATGTATACTATAAAATATTTAAATATAAAACTATGAAAAGGAAACTAACTATATATGCTCAAACAATATAAATATTCAATTAAGTAACTGCTTCCAGGAAACCACTTCATTTCTTTGTCCAGTCCTTCTTGCCAATGCCACAACCTTTATCTGCAGGCTTCATTCTACACACCGCATTAATATTCCATTGATGCAGACCGCCATCATTCACGTCGGAAGGGATTACCATTGGCTCCGTGGTACGCTCTGCTTTGTCGTCTACCATTCTTAAGGTTATTGGTGGTTTGTAATTGAGTTCTCTCTGGTAATATACTTCCGGAACCAGAGACATTTCTTTGGCTTTTTCTACTTCATCGATGCATTCTTTTCCTGCTAATTTACCACAATCGTCGACAATTTTTGGATCTTCTGTGCGTGGCAGCTTTTCTTCTTTTTCCTCTTCTGAAATACGAATATTTATTACTTTTCTTACAGAACGGTCGTCCTCATTGCCATGGCACCGATTGTTTTTTAATAAATTGAGAGGTTTCTCCCGAAATGGTTTTCTATATCTCAGCGCTGACACGACGCCAGAATGTTCTTCTTCTTCCCGTTCCTCAAAATGAGGACTTGCCGGCGGGAAGCACTTCTCAATATTTCCCTCTAGACATCGAATCTGTTTTAGATTAACAGCATTATCTCCCTTTCTTACACTTGCTAGTTGCTTGGACAGGTCATCTTTCTCAGCTTCTAAGACTCGTCGCGCTCTTTCCGAGCTAGCCAATTTTTCATTGACTTTCTTTAACTTCGTTTTCAGATGTCGCACTTGATCATTCTGAACTCGATGTTTTTCTTCGAATTGTTCATCTTTGGCCCGCAGGTTTTCTTCAGATTTGGCGAGCAGATATTTTTCGTGGGCCTTCGCATTTCTCAATATCGTTTCACTTTTTTCCACTTCGATTGTTATTTGAGAACGCAGTTCGCTTGCTTGTTCCTGCAGAAATTGTAAATTGTTTTCATAGGCTTGCATTTGTTCGTGCAAACCATCTTCTAATTCTCTGTCGTAATCTTCCTTTGTTTCGACATAGTTAAGTTGTCTGTTTTCTTCCACTTGCTTTTCCCAAGTTAAATAGTCACATTTCTGCGAGAGTATCTATCGTAATGGAGGTCTCATCGAATCTTCGATTTCTTCATCGATGTCCAAGTCTGTGTAATTGCGACTGCGGGTTGCTAAAAGTTTCATTGCCGATAACATACACATATCCACATCACAGAGCAATGTCTTCATATGGGTTGGAAGATATTTGTGGTGTACCCTCAAGTACCGTCGTAACTGGTAATATGTATTTTCTACCAGTACCTTCCATGCCGCGACGTGTTTCACCTTTTCAAAGACTGATGTCGAAGTTAATAACTGGAAATAGTCTACCAAAGTGGTAATATCTTCTTCCACTTCTTTATTCATTTTTAATTTAAATGTTTTAGATGGGACTATTTGTCCTCTTTTCAAAACTTTTTTATATTGCCTTCTTGGCTTTTTTCGATTTTTTGATTTTTTCAGATGGGACTTTTAATGTCCTCTTTTCAAAATTGTATATTTTTATGTGGGCCTGTTGTTGTCCTCTTTTTGTTATGTTTTTTTTTTTTTATTTTAATTTGCCCCGTGGGTCTTATTTATTTTGCCCCTGTGGCGAGTTTTTTTTTTTTTTATTTTTGCCCTTTGGGTCTTTTTTGAAATATATATGTTTAAATTTTGCCCTTATGGCTCTTTATAATTTTATCCCTCAAAGGGTTTTTATTGGTAGCTATTCTCCTCTTTTTTTTGAAGAATAGCTACTTCTGCTTGTAGTGAGTCTCTTACCACTGGTGGGGGAAAACTCCTACTATTTTCGTTTTGTGGTCGCTAATTCGTTTCACTTTGACAAAAGAAGAAACACGACCGATTAGTTTGGTTGCTATTTCAATTCTGTTTTGGATCCTGCT